GCCTTTGGCTGTTCCGCCCTCACGATCTGGCCTGCCGTTGCGCACTGCGGAGGGGGGGGGGGGGGGGGCGGCCATCCGCTCAGCGCCTTACATGCTAACGCCTAGTCCCCCTCGTACGCGCAGGCGCGGGCGCCGCGCTCCTCGCGACCAACCTCCTGCCGGCGCCGCTCGCGGCTCTCCGCTCGGACGCCATCGTGCACGAGATGGAGACGGCCGACACGATCATGGGCGAGGCGCAGAAGGACTCGTCCGAGGGCTCCACCGCTGCGGCTGGCGCCGAGAGCCCCGTCACGTTGAAGAGCATCATGGCCGAGTTCGCGGCGTTCAAGAGCGACATGCAGAAGAAGGACGCGGCGTTGGCTGACTTCAAGGAGGAGACGCAGAAGAAGGACGAGGCGTTCAAGGAGGAGATGATGAAGAAGGACGAGGCGTTCAAGGAGGAGATGCAGAAGAAGGAGCAGGAGGTGCAGAAGAAGGACGAGGCGTTCAAGGAGGAGATGAAGAAGAAGGACGCGGCGTTGGCTGACTTCAAGGAGGAGATGAAGAAGAAGGACGAGGCGTTCAAGGAGGAGACGCAGAAGAAGGACGAGACGTTCAAGGAGGCGATGAAGAAGAAGGACGAGATGATCGCCGAGCTACTCGCCGCGCTCAAGAGCAAGACGGACCACAAGCAGGTCCAGATGTCGGCCGGCGGCGAGGTGGTCGAGCTGGTGAGCGCCGCGGAGCTCAAGGCGGTGGAGGCGCGCGTGCAGGCTGCTGAAGAGCGCGTCGAGGAGTGCGTCGCTCAGAACGCCGCGCAAGACGCCAAGATCGGCGCGCTCCGCGACAAGCCGGCCCCGCCCAACCCGCCGGCGGCCGCGGCTCGCCCGCCGGCAGCGGCGCGGCGGCAGCTCTCCTCCGCGACTGGCGACGAGACCGAGTTCGCCATCACGGGGAGGAAAGCGACGCTCTCCTTCAACAGCCGCACGCCCGACCTGACGGCGACCCGCCTGACCGGCGAGGGAGGCGGCAAGCTGACGTGCAGCGGCGAGCTGCACGCGACGGACTTTGTCACGGCGGACGGGGAGAGTGTCACCGAGCGGATCGAAGCGCTTCGCGGCAATTTCACTGAGTTCGTCACGGAGCAGCTCAAGGACGGTGTCTCGCAGGGGCTCGCGGGCGTGAGCGAGGAGCTCGAGGCGGTTCGCAAGTTTGTGGGCATGGTGCCACCGTCGCCGCCGTCGCCTCCGTCGCCTCCGTCGCCGCCGCTTGCGCCGCCTCCGGTAGCGCCGCCTCCGACCTTTCCGCCAGCGTGCGTTTGGTCGGATTGCACAGTTGAGTCCCTCAACCTCGCCGAGACCAACTCCAACCTGAAGGGCTTCCAGGGCGGCTACGTCACCGACGCACACGCCTACTACGTGCCGTTCCACAATGGCGCGTACCACGGCTACGCGGCGCGCGTCTCGCTCTCCGACTTCTCCTCCTCGGGCGTCGAGTACCTCAACCTCGCCGACACAAACTCCAACCTGAAGGGATTCCGGGGCGGCTTCGCCACCGACGCACACGCCTACTACGTGCCGTCCTACAACGGCGCGCGACACGGCTACGCGGTGCGCGTCTCGCTCTCCGACTTCTCCTCCTCGGGCGTCGAGTACCTAAACCTCGCCGACACAAACTCCAACCTGATCAGCTTCAGTCGCGGCTTCGTCACTGACGCACACGCCTACTACGTGCCGTACCACAACGGCGGGTGGAGCGGCTACGCGGTGCGTGTCTCGCTCTCCGACTTCTCCTCCTCGGGCGTCGAGTACCTCAACCTCGCCGACACGAACTCCAACCTGAAGGGATTCATTGGCGGCTTCGCCACCGAAGCACACGCCTACTACGTGCCGTGGGACTACGGCGCGCGCAGCGGCTACGCGGCGCGCGTCTCGCTCTCCGACTTCTCCTCCTCGGGCGTCGAGTACCTAAACCTCGCCGACACCAACTCCAACCTGAAGGAATTCTATGGCGGCTTCGTCACTGACACACACGCCTACTACGTGCCGTACAGTCACGGCTACGCGGCGCGCGTCTCGCTCTCCGACTTCTCCTCCTCGGGCGTCGAGTACCTCAACCTCGCCGACACAAACTCCAACCTGATCGGCTTCGTTGGCGGCTTCGCCACCGACGCACACGCCTACTACGTGCCGCACAACAACGGCGGGTGGAGCGGCTACGCGGTGCGTGTCTCGCTCTCCGACTTCTCCCCCTCGGGCGTCGAGTACCTCAACCTCGCCGACACGAACTCGAACCTGAAGGGCTTCGACGGCGGCTTCGCCACCGACGCACACGCCTACTACGTGCCGTACCACAACGACGGCGGGCGGAGCGGCTACGCGGCTCGCGTCTCGCTCTCCATCTAAGGAACTCAGGGGGTCGTCTGCCGCTTGTGTCCCTCCCCCCCGCCCCCATCTATTGGGAAGGCCTCTGCGCTCTGGGTCGTCCTGGGTCTCTTTCGAGGGTCTCTTGTAGTGGGTGCATTGGGTTGGGGTAGGCCCCTCTCTGCACCACGAGACAGTGGTGGACGGGAGGCGCGAACAGCGCCATCTTGGGTCTTCACGCCGACCAGTGCTCCCGTCAGTGACAAGGAAGAGGGGCTGAGTGGCCTTCTCAGCCGCCGGCCGCGCGTGCGTGACTCCGTCTACTGTTAACGAACCACGAGCCCTGGTTGCGCCTCGGCAGCAGAGAGTATTCCACCGCCATATCGTTTTTATCGCGGGGATCAAGAAAGAAGCACGTCATGAAAATTGAAATTTGCGTACGTAAAAAAGTGAAGTGCGTGCCTCGACCCCCCCCCCCCCCCCTTGGTTGTGTCATTGTGAGGGAGAGATTTTTAGCAATACCAAACAACTCTAACACTCACACGTCATTTGGGGCCTGGAGCCCTGTTCACGCGCGCGCGAGACGTGCAGACAGGGTTGCCCGGTGAGAGCGAATGGCGCGGTTCACGCTGTCCGGACACCGGAGTGCCAGAGAGTGTCCGATGCCCTCACTACTCGCTCTCCGACCCGACGGTTACCACCGGCTGCTCCCGCTGCATTCCGTCTTGGGCTGGCCCTCGCGGCTTTGGGCTCGCCGACTCAGCTCTCTCGTTCGCTGCACTGGCGCGGCACCTCGCAACAAGGAGGAGGGCTCGCACGTGCTCCCCTTGCCCCACCACCTCGTGTGTGTGGAGAAGTTTACCTTACCTTACCTTACCTCTGCCAACGAGGCCAGGCCGTCCCGTTTTGATCTCTCGGTCTGTGGGGGGCCGAGCCGCCTCGGGGAGGGTGGCGGGCGGGCGGGCGTTTTGAAAGACAGAAAACAGAAAACAAGAGGGGGCCCGGGGGCCCGGGGACCCACTGGGAGTAGAAAATACGCCCAAGGGGGCCAAGGAGGCGGCGCGGGGAAGCAGCATCAAGTGAGAGCAGGAAGGATGACGCTTAGGGTGGCTTTGAACAAGGGTTTCCAGGGTTTAGATCAGTATTGGTGTCGGCGCACATCCCCACATGAGGTCAGCGGCGCGCAGTGCCTCTCTCGCAGGCTGGATTTGGCTGTTTTTGAGCTTGTTTTTGTTTTGATTCAGACAGGTGGGCGGCCCGACCCCCTCAGAGGCGGCGGGCGGGCGCCCACAGACCGAGAGATCAAAACGGGACGGCCCGGGGCTAGCAGTAGCACGAGTAGGAGCACCTTGTGACTGTGCCCTGGCAAAATCGTCCCGATTTCGATGCGCGATTTAGCTAAGTCCCAGAGCCGTTTACGCATGAGGGGGCCCCCTCACCAGCCTAGGGCTCGCGCTTCTGGCCCGAGGTGTCGCCGCTGCCTCCCGCGCCCTCCGGCGCCTGCTGCTACTGCCGGTCGGCCGGTCGGGTCCGCGCGACGGCTCCATCCTCGAGACGTAGCGGTCGCTGAGCGCTTTCTCGACCGCTACGTCTTCCAGTGCACCCACCCACCGCGACCCTCGAACCTGCGCTGCGCGGCGCAGTTGCTGCCGAGCGAGACGCCCCCGCCCGCGCAGGGGCGGCATCACCAGACGCTACCGCATGGCCGAGCAGCGAGCAGTGTGTGCCGCAGTGCCCGTCCGGGCCCTCTTGCAGCTGCCTCTATTGGGCGTAAACCGCGGATATAAGGGTCTATACGGAGGTGGGTGGCCTCTTAGAGGTATGGGAGCCGCTGGCACCGCGCTGGGCGCCGCGGATGCACGTACGAACGAACATTATGAAATCGGGACGATTTTGACCCAAAAATCACAAGGTGTAGCACTACGACCTACACACGACTCTGTCGACTCTGAGCGTACACTCCCGGCCACCACACCCTGATGACAGATGTGAGATGAGAGCGAGATCGATGTCATGACATTTTCGCGGGTGACCGGTGTGTTTTTCTTACCTGTTTTTTCGAAAATTCCCTAACCTCCTCATAACCGAATCCAGCTGCGCGCCTAGTCGTCCTCCATCCTCCACCACGCTGCGTCCCCCATCGCCCCGCTAGCCGTCCTGCTTGGCGAGGCTATCGAGCAAGTCCTGCGGGGGTGGGGGGGTGGGGGGGGGTGGGGGGGGGCTGTCAGTCTCGGCGCGGGGCGCGTCGAGAGGGCGCCTCGGCCGCCGCGCCTGCTGCTCGCGCTTCTTGAGGCCGCTCGAGACGCCGTTGAGGGCCACGAGAGCGGTGCGGTGTCGCACCGAGTACTGCGGGTGCGCGCGCGCCCACGCGAGCAGCTCCTGCGGCGGCAGGTAGAGCGCGCGGAGGTAGTCCTCGACATGCGCCATCGACGGGGCCATCTCGGGCAGCAGCTTGCGCAGCGCCGCCTGCAGCGTCTTGACGTCGAGCGACATCTGGGCGCGGCCCTCGTCGGACGCCTTCTTGACGCCGGCGTACCCGTCCACCAAGTGCTCGCAGATGGCGCCGATCGCCTCGCCGACGAGAGTCCTGTACGCCGGCGATTCGGAGAGTGAGTCCGCAATCGACTCGCTCGTTCATTGGGCGCCTCGTCGAGGAGGGTCCTGTACGCCGCCACCGGCACGCCGAGCTGCGACAGGGAGCCCGCCAGCTGCTGCACGTGCTGCACCAGCTGGTCGACGTACGGAGAGTGCTGTGTGTGGGCCAGAGTCACCGCGAAAGTCACCGGTCTCGGCCCGAGACGCCCCCGCCCCCCGGCGCCCCCCAGAGGTCGCCTGCGGGTGCGCCGCGGTGCGGGCACGTCAGGAGGGCTCCCACGCACCCTTGGAGCCGGTCGGCACTCGACCGTTCGACGCGCACGGCACTCTGGCGCGGCGCGCTGGGTCGGGTCGCCACGCACGGCGGCAGTCACGCGGGCCTTGGGCCGCCCCGGAAGCCGAGACTGTGCACGCGGGGAGGCTGCGGGGCCTCGCATGCAAAAGGGCGCGCCTCCAAAGCCGACCGTTCCGGCGGGGTGGCGTCAGCGCGTGGTCCAGCGCTGTTGGTCGCTCAGCGCGCAGGCCATAGCAAGAAACTGACCTCCTCTCCCCATTCCTCTTCCTCTCTAGGTATCAACCTGCACGCCTTGCATAATGCTACTTAGCGTCATCCAGCTGGTGGCGAGGCCGATGTTCCAGGGCGGCGCGGGCGCGATCGAGCGCGACCTGGCGGACGTGCACGCGAACCTGAGCGACATCAAGGAGGGGCGCGAGCCGGCCGACTTCCGCAGCGGCACCACCCGCCGCTCGCGCCGCGCCGCGCCCGCCCTCTCGGGCTTTGCGCAGCTCATGCTGCAGATGCTCGCGCAGCGGGGCGTGTACGGCACGGCGGCGGGTCCGGCCAACGAGTCGGCGGCCTCGTCCGCCATGACGGAGCGCGAGGTGCGGCGCGCGCTCGCCCTGCTGCACCCGCACCGCATCGGCCAGCCGGGCTTCACCCCGCTGACGGCGGGCTGCGGCTTCGCCCTCAAGGGCCTGTACGACAAGGCGCACGTCTGCCGGCGGCGCCGTCGGACGGGCGCGCGGGGCCGGCAGCCGATGGAGTACTGGCTGCCGGCGCCGCGCGGCGCGGGCGCGTTCGCCTGAGGCGGCGAGGGGGCTGAGTGAGAGGCGGGCGCTCTGATCCACGCAGTGCCCAACTGCGTGGGGAACTGCGTGGATCAGAGTTGTGCGCGCGCGTGCGGCCCTCCGCTGCGGCGCTGGCGCCTGCGTGGGGAACTGCGTGGATCAGAGTTGTGCGCGCGCGTGCGGCCCTCCGCTGCGGCGCTGGCGCCACGTTTTGTTTAACCGCGCAAAGCGCGGCGAGGGCGCGGCTTGGTGGGAATGGGTGCGGGTGGAGCGATGTGATGGCAGCACAGGCGCCGCTGGCAGCGGCGACGTCAGCGGCATGGACAGAGGCGAGGATGGCGGGGCGCGGCAGCCCGGCAGGGCGGCGGGTGCGGGGCGGCGGGGCGGCGGCTTCGGTGGGCCGGCGGCGCCTCTGGGCTTCAGCTGCGCGCAGGGCGTCGCAGCAAGCAGCTGGGACCCTGGGGGGGGGAGAGGGCGGTCGGAGAGGACGGCGTCTAGGCGATCTCCTCCAAAAAGAAATTCAGAAAATTTCAAGCATTCGCAGCCGTCAGACCTCTCGCCCGCGCTGCTCGGCGAGGAAGCGGAGCGCGTCGACGTGGCCGTTGAGAGCGGCGGCGTGCGGTGGCGTGGCTTAGCTTGTGCACGTTATTCTCGCGCAGGACTATCTATATTTACTTACATTCTCCCTGGGCCGTCTATATTCTCGAGAATATTCTCGAATATTGAGAATATTTTGACCACGCGTAGGTCGACAGAGGCCAAAAGTCGCTCCCATACCCGCTCAGAACCTCCAAAACTTAAAGATTTCAGTCGGCCTCGACCCGAAACCTACTGTTGAGGGGGGAAATAGCTGTTTCGAGCTCTCTCGTCAAGACCGTTTTCGATGCCGCAGCGGTACGTCAAGAATATTCAAGAATATCTTTAGACTCGAGGTCTACTAAGGTCAAGGGTTGCGGAAAGCTCGTATATTCTTGAGGGAAAAGCCGGCAAGAGGCTTTGATTCTTGCCCCGAGAGACCGGCTAGGGGAGCCGTGCCGGCACCAACTTTAGCCGTGAATATATCCAGATCCCCCCATGAAACAAAGACCAAACTTCTCCCACATAGCCATTAGGACCCAGTAACTAAAATATGTTGGGCAGGGCAATTTGTTAATGGCAGAAAAAGAATGGTGGCAGTGGCCCACTATGGCCCACTAGGTGATTCACGGATATAGTAGCGATGAGCTCACTAGCTAGAGCTCACACTAGAGGCCGTCATCGCATTCGCACCTTCCTGGGACCCAGCGCTGACCCTTGATTGTCGTTGCCGTCTCTCCCTTCTCGACTGTCTGTGCTTGTGCGTCTTGGGTCCCGGGGTTGTGTTTTTGTGTGAAGAAGGCTGCCATAGCCGCAGCTGCGGCCGCACCACCCGGCGAGGCCATCCTCGCGCGCACGGACGCTACAGGCGCGGGCGCGGGGGTTGATGGTGCGTATGTGGCGGAGATGATGGAGGCGCTCGCCGCGTGCGGCGATTGAGCGCCTCCCTCTCTCTCCGGCTGCGCGCCTGACCGGTGCGGCCTCCGAGTCGGCGTCTAGCGCGCGATAAGGTTTTTGCTCGCCTTCCCTCGGACCACGTGTTGCGTGACTGTCTCTGTGCGATTTCGGGCCCTGGGTTGTCCGTTTATCTTTATGTGAAGAAGGTGCGTTTACGTGAAGAGGTACGCACCGCCGTCCTGAGGCTTCCACTCCTTGCGCGCTCCTCCGTTCCTGCGCACGCGGGAAGCTTCTCTGTGAAGGCGTGCGCCCCCGCTCCCCGCATCCACCCCGCCCCACTCCACTCCGGTCGACCAACGCGCGACGCATCAGCTGGTGCCGGCGCCGGCGCCGGCAGTGGAAGCGCCACCACCGCCAGAGTTGCCGCCGCTTCTGCACCGCCCCCGCACCGGAGCCGGTCATACTCGTGCGTCAACGCGCGCACCGCGTCGCACCCGCACCCGCACTCGCGCTCGCCCGCCGCGTTGCGGCCTCGCCACCGCAGCCGCCGCAGCCGCCGCAGCCGCCACCGCCGCCGCATCCACCGCCCGCCCCGTCTCCCCTCCGCACCCCACGCCCCGCCTCGCCCGCGCTCGCCCGCGCTCGCCCGCGCTCGCCCGCGCTCGCGCTTGCGCTCGCCCGCCGCGCTGAGGTCTCTCCTCCACAGCCGCCGCTGCCGCTGCCGCTGCCGCTGCCGCCACTGCCGCCACCTATGCGCCCCCGCGCCCGCACTTGCGAGCAAGCCGCGCCGCGCACGAGCACGCTGCGCTCACGCCAAGCCCGCGCCCGCGCGCCCGCGCCCGCCCGCCGCGATGCTGCCGGCCTCCCCATAGCCTCTGCCTCTGCCGCTGCCGCCACCTCTGCCGCTGCCGCTGCATCTGCCGCCGCCGCCGCCGCCGCCGCTCGACACTCCTTCCCCCCGCTGCATCCCTCAGGGAGACGGAATGTCCGCCCAACTCGACATTGATGAGACGAGCTTCGTGTCGTCCTTCTTCAATGACGCTTATCCCAACTGGAGCGCCGAGCAGGTTGAGCAGGCAGCGGAGAGGACGCTGCGAGCAGTCAAGAACCTACGCGACCTTGGCATCCTCATCTCGGTCACCGAGGAGGCCGAATTCGACAAGGAGGTGGGTGTCGACAACTTCATCCGCGGCTTCCTCATCACTTCCGAAGAGGTGTTGAAGCGATGGGCGAGGGGTTTCTTCGACGACTGCAAGGGCAAGCAAGATGCGATCGGCAGCATCGGTGTGCGCACCTTGCGCCACACACTCCGCAATCCTCCCCCCCCCCTCTCACATACCTCTCTCTCCCCTCAGGTATCCACGTCCACACGGCCGCGGCGGAGCGGACGCGCCTCCTTCTTCTCTCGCCACCCCCCGCTCTCCTCACCGAGGACGACGACGAGACGCTCCAGTCCACGCAGAAGGCGCATGAGGCGCTCCAGCCGTACAAGGAGGCCCACGCTCGCCTCGACGCGCTCGAGTTCCGACTCGTCACCGTCGCTCTTCTCGCCAAGAACATGACGCTCAAGCAGCTCGAAGACAAGAAGGAGGAGCTTTTGCGCGACTTTTTTGCCGTCGAGGACGACCACGAGATGGCGTACACGAGTGAGGAGAAGCGGCGCATTGTCTCGCACATGCATGCGAAGATGGACGAGGTTGAGCCTGTCGCATTTGACGCCAACCTCACCTCCGAGGCAGCGATGCTTCGCGTCATGAGACAGATAGGCAGCGTCGAGAGCGCGAACGAGGTGCGCTGCATGATCGAGTCTTCCGACTCGTGTGTCGACTCATGCGACGCCGAGCTGCTTCGCCTCGCTGCCGCCGGCGCAAAGTTCACACTCTTTCGCGACAGCGCCTTTGCCGACGCTGACCTCGCCCAGCACCTCTCCACCGGCATCCTTCTCGTCCCGGCCTTCACCGGGAAGGCCCTTTCCGACGTCCTTCACGACGACCGCGTCCTCGGAGTCACGCAGGCGCTCGACGCGTTTCGATCCTACCGACTTCGACTCTGGGGTGCCGCATCGCTTGCCGATTTCGACACCGACGCCGCCGACCGATACGTCGTGCTGCAGCAGCAATTCGGCGGCGGCGACGGAGTTGCTGGCGTTGGAGTCGCACTCTTCGAGAGCGCGGACGCTGTCTCGAGAATCATGAAAACGATTATCGACTACTACGAGGATGCGGCTGGCTTGTTTCGCATCGCCGGCAACGCCGACGCCCTCTCCAAGACCGACCTCATCGCCTCCATGGCGGACGCCGCCGCAGCACGCAACGACACCGCCGCCGTCGCCAAGTTTGAGGGCCGCTGCCTCTGCCCGCTCTCCGGCCACGGGTGCAACGCGGGCCCCTTCGAGGACAAGGACGTCGCGGCGCACGTCCCGCCCGGCGTCTTCTGCGCGTTCGTCGGCAGCAAGGTGCACCTTCCGCTCGCGCGCAAGCTGCAGGACGTGGTGGCGAAGAAGCAGGAGCTCAGCCTGCAGTTCCCAAACGCGCGCCAGTGCGGCCGCTGCTCGCACGGCCCTGTGCTCTTCAGGCGCCGCCGCCTCCAGACCCCGCTCCCGCCGCCTCCACCTTGCCCGCCGCCTCCACCTTCCCATCTTCTCCGTCCTCGCCACCGCCTCCCCCACACTCGCCGCCTCCCCCACACTCGCCGCCTCCGAGCCTCACGCCACCACCCGCGCCACCGCCGAGCCCGCCGCCGCCCTCGCTCCAGGGGCTGCTCCGACCTCACCACGCACCACGGCCAAGGCGGCATCGACAACTCGTGCGGCCGCTGCGGCTGGCGCGCGCTGCTAGATGCTCCAACACATAAAACGCGTTTTCCCCTGCACTCGTTCTGATTGGCGTGCCGTGTGAATGACGCCAGCCACGCGGGTGCAGCCAACTCACGCCACCTCCAGGCTACAGGTTCTGCACACATCCTCTTCACCAAAGACCCTCTTTTGCGCGCAGGTTCGCGCCTCACATCTCGATGTGGCCGCGCTGGGACCCCACTGCAGCGGCGCTCTGTCGCAGACGACCCGAGGACGACCCGAGACGGGCCCGAGACGATTCGAGACTGCGCGAGATCATAGGCGCTCGGGCGCGACAACCCGCTCGACGCCGTCTTCTCCGAGGCGCCTCTGCCCCTTCTCTGCCCCTTCACCACGCTGCCACTTCTCTGCCTTCACCACTCTGCCGCTTCTCTGCCGCTTCTCTGCCACTCCTCGGCTACCTCTTTGCCGCTACCCCCACCGTGCTGCCATTTCCCAGCACACTAGCGTGGGGGGAGACGTTTTGCCTCGCCTCGGCGCAGGCGCAAGAGGACGAGCCGGCCGCCGCCGCGCGCGCCGAGGAGCGACGCCGCCAAGCGGCCCTCTTCCGGCAGCAGCAAGAGGCGACCCACCCCCTGCCGCCGCCCCCGCCCGCACACCACCCACACCCCAACCCTCGCAGCCCCTCCCCCTCACCTCCCCCGCAACTGCCTGCTCATGCGCACCGAGCTTTTGAAGGCCGCGGGGCTCCTGCCTGGAGACACCCTCACCCTCACCGCACCACGCTTACCTCACCCTCACCCCACCTCCCTCCCGCCCCATCCTTGCCCGCCAGGCGCGCGAGGAGGAGCGCCGCCAGTGGATGCAAGGGGTGGTCGTCCGGCGGCGGGCGGCCCGCGAGGCGTTTGTCCAGATGTGACACCATCTAGCATCCCCGTCTTGGCTACCAGCAGAGAGCTACACGCTTCTCTCGCGCGGGTCCAAAAGAGAGAGGGGGGGAGATAGGACAGCGCACGGGTCTGTGTCTTCACGCCCTCGCCGCTGCGCGCTCACCCCAGGCGCGCATGGTGTCGATGGAGGAGCGGCGCGCGCTCCGCGATGACGGATGGGGCGTCGCCCAGCAGCTGCCGAGCGGCGAGCGCCGCTGGCACGACTTCGACTCGCGCCCGCCCTCGTGGCGCCGGCAGCAAGAGCCGCAAGAGCCGCCGAGGCAGCGCCGCCGCGTGATCGACGAGGGCGAGTGGCCGCCGGTGGACTTTCTAGATGGCGGTTAGTCCATTAGGTAGGAGAGAGGTAGGTAGAGAGGTGAGGACACAGTCTGGCCAGCGACTGACTGGACACCATGGGACACAAGCGGCACACAGGGGACACTCGAGGCGCCGACGACTGCATTTCTCTCTCATTGCGCCTGCTTGGCCTTCGAGTACTTTTGCTTGGCCTTCGAGTACTTTCTGTACGCGGCATGGCCAGTATGCTGCTTCCCCGACTCGTCTGAGGCCACCCCAACCACTCACTATTCGTTTACCTACACTAAGCTAGTACGACACCTCCCAGCACGCGAGGACGACAGTCTCTGCAAAGTTGCCGTCGGCTGCTTGTATGCTGGAGCAGCTCGCCGACGCAGCCGCCGCCTCCGCCCACCTTTCGAGCGGAGAGCAAGCAGCCTCCGCCTCCGCCCACCTTTCGAGCGGAGAGCAAGACGGCCCTCACTATTACGTCACCGTGCCAGCCTCGTCGGTCCGCAAGCTCTGCGACGACGACGAGCGCGACGCCAGCAGTAGCGAGACGGAGCTGCGGTTCCAGGTCGGGGACGAGGTGATCGCGTCGGTCGCGTCAAAGCAGTAGGTCAACGGCGTCGTCACGCAGCAGTGGTACAACGACCCCTACTGGGAAGACCGCGAGGAGCGCGTGCCACATACCAAATCCGCCTGTTCGGGCTGAACTCCAAGCTGATCTGGTGCCCTGTGGACGACGACTGCGTCGTCAGGGCAGCCACGGAGGAGAACTTCCGCGCGCTGGGGGCAAAGAGGCTGCCGCCACCTCCGGAGCACAAGAAGAACCAGATCGCACTGTACGACGCGCTCGACGCCGATCCTGGAGGCGGCTGGCCCGGCCAGTGCTCCTGCTGTGAGAAGGGTAGCTGCGACCGGGCGACGCGGCTGCGGAAGAAGCTCGAGGAGCGGCGGCGGCAGATGCAGCCCTGCCAGGACGACGCCGTCAGCGGGAGCGATAGCAGCGGCGAGTGCGGCGGCCCAGCCAAGGCCGCCGGCGCGAACCTCGACAGCCTGATGGCGTGGATCAATGAGGAGAGCGCAGCTGGTGGCGCGGCTCAAAAGAAGCGGACGAAGAAGAAGCAGCGGCAGCAGCGGAAGCAGGAGCAGGAGCAGCAGCGGGGAGAGGAGGAGGGGGAGCAGCAGCAGGGCGGACAGGAGCAGCTGCTGGCGGTGGTGGCGGAAGAGCAGCCGCTGCCGCCGCAACAGCAGCAGCCGCAGCAGCAGGCGCAAGTGCTGGGAGACTGCTCGGATGACGACATCGAGAGCTTTGAGAGGCAGCTGCAGCTGGGCGGCGCCAGCTCCCGCCCAGTGCACCGGCGGCTGCCGCTGAAGCCCGACGTCCGATGGGCGCTCATCAGGATGTGCGACTCCATGACGAGCATTGCTCCTCACTCTCACCGGCCACCACCCGACCGCTGCGCGGGCAGGGTGTGCCCGGCACATTGAGGAGCTCGATGCCCCCCCGGAATAGGACGTGTGCACCTCATGGTTTGTGAGAGGCTCTTGTGGAATATTCGTGGGAGAGAGTAACAGAGTTACATACTGTGGGGAGCAGCAGTGCAGTGATGGAGCTGTTAAGAGCTGAGCCTCTGGGTTCGTGTAGCGCAGAGGCCCCCGCGGGCCGCTCACTCAAGCAAAGGGGTGCCTCCCATTGAGTCTCTAGATAGAGCGCGCGCATCGACCCCATCGATCGTGAGCGCGGTAGGCTTTCCGGTCGTTCGTGTAGTCACCGTGTAGCCGGCGGAGCCGCCAAAACCTGCTCGGCAGACTCCTGATTCGCCTCCAGCCGCCGCAGCCGCCGCAGCCACAGCCGCGGCCGCAGCCGCCGCAGCCGCCACTGACCTAGTATCCCCTACCTACCCAGTACCCGAATCCACCATAAAAAGAAATACATTTGGGTTGACTTGGGCCTTGTTAGAACCGCCTTCGCGCCCTCTACTGCCCCATGTACTTGGTTCGCCCCGCAAAAGTCTTTTTCGCCCCGGTTAGGTTCGTGGTTAGGTTGACCCCCCACATTTCCCTGTGTGGTGGCGGCGTGCCGTCCTCCCATCCCTCCCTTGGGTTGTATGTTGTATTTCTTTCTTTCTTTAGGGCTCTCTTGCCCGCAACCCGATCCCGATTAAACGGCGCAACGCGAAATGTACCACACAACATAGAACAAAACGCGGTCGCGCCTCGGACGCACGGCACACCGCGCCGCTCTCCGGAACTAGACAGAGCTCGCAGCTGCAAAGGGTTGGAGAGAAGGCGACAGGCGTTTGGCCGAGCAGCGAGGGTTGGCCCCGCAGCTCAAATTCAGTTCCCGGCTGCAGACCCTTCCATCCCCTCCAGGATTGGGCGGGAGGTGGCCGCCCGAGCGACGGGGGGCACGAGCAGCGAGGAGCCCCCGCTTGGCCGGCGCTTGCTTGCACAGAGGGGCGAGGGGGGCAGTGCCGCCACGGGTGGCAGCAGCGGGCCTGGTGCGGGGGCGAGGCGCGGCAGGTGGGGCGCCGCTTGCAGCGGGGCGCCTCTGACCGCCGCGAACGGGTCGCGCGGCTGGCGCCGAAACGCAATCTCTAGGCCAGCACAAAGACTTGGAAAAATCTATCTCTCTCTCTCCGTTCATGTTCGTACGCACCGCTCTACTCTATGTACCTGTCCGGCCCGAGTTTTGATTGTGCCTCGCGCATCGGACGTTTGCGAGCGGTGCCCCCCCTGCCGGCGTCGGAAGCAGCTGCTGCCTCCCTCGCTCACGCCACTGCCGCCGCCTTGGCGCTTGGCAATTGGCAGCCAAAGGCCAGCCGCCCATCCCGCGCTGTCAAGCTGAACGCCGCGAACGCCGTGAGGAGCAGAATCCCCGATGACGGAGGCATCATGGGTGAAAGAGTCGTCGCGCGGGCCCTCAAGCGCTTTTGAGACACGCATCCGATGCCATGCTCAGCGTGGAGCGTCGGGAAACCCGCACAAGATGAGGAACTCGAGCACAGGCCGTCCCTGCTCTAGCTCGCCTTGGGTTTCGCACTCGAGGCTTGCTGCGAAGCGATCTGGCGCTTGCTCAAGGAGGACATCGCTCCTAAGGCGCTCGGCATTGGGCAAGACGGGGAGAAGCCGCCCTTCTACGACTTAGGCGCGCACGGCTGGAATGGTACAGCGTGGCGCACGCTGCTGTCTATGTGGCGAGCAACGAGGCGGAGGCGCCAGGATTCGGTTATGAGCAGGTGAGGGGCTCAGAGTTCGGTTATGAGCAGGTAGGGGATTTTCCCACCCGAGAGAAAATGGGTGGGATGGACTCAGAATACCTCCCTCTGCACGCCCCGACCGGTTCCCACCCGCTCCGCGCATTTTTCCACAAGTTTTGACCCTTATGAGCCGCCAGGGCCGCTTCGACCATTCTTTTTTGCTGTCAGGTTTGCTGTCAGGTTTGGGGCGACACAGGTGGAGAGGCGTAGCGGCCGGCAGGCTTCCATAAGGGCGAGGCGACAGGCCGACGCCGCTCCGGCGGACGAGTCCGAGGAAGAGTCCGGGCAGGAGGGCGACGGCTTCACATCGTCTGGCTGGGGCAAGTCGCGTACCGCTAGTCCGCCACTCAGGCAGGGCAGCGAGCCAGCGACAACCTGCGAGGGGCCGAGGGCGGGGTGGTTGGCGCCCTTGCAGATTGCGGCGATGGGCGCACCACGCTGCCGAGCGACAACCCAGGGGTATTGGTCGTACATGTAGTTTCTTTTTTCCGCCGTCGCAAAATCTTTTTTCTGCGTTCAATCGTTGCTCGAGGTCGTCACACAAGCAACTTGGCAGCACCCGCCGGCGCGATGGAGGCCAAGCTCTCACAAAGCCTCGACGACATCGTCGCCGCGAGTAGACGAGAGAGCGGCGGCGGCACGAAGCGGCGGCACCAGACGAGGACGCCGATTGCGAAAGCCTCGCGCGGCGACACCATCTTCTCGCAGCTGGGAGGCAAGACCGGCGGCCGTCCCGCCGCAGCGAAGCAAGCCTTGCGGAAGCACGTCCAGCGGAAGCGCGACACTGCCACCGGCGAAACGGTGATTCGGTTCTACGAAACGGACGCCGTCAGGATCGGCACCGATGACATCGTGCTCAGCAGCGGAGGGTACTCGAACGACGTGACGCGCCGCTGCATCAACGACGCATTGTCCAACTACGTCTTCAGCGTCAAGCAAAGCCTCAGCGGGGACTCGTTCGTCTTCGACGGCCGCACTCGCCTCGTGCGATTTACCGACGGCATCGTGCTGAGTGGCGCTGCGAGGGAGCTCAAGGAGCGCGAGCAGCGCGGCCACTGGCGGGGCTAGCCAGTTGCGGACTGTCGACTGTGCCTTTCTTCGGATGTAGGCAGAGCGGCCGTCATCGCTGCGGGAGCGAGCCATCGGCTTCTACCTGCGCATGGGCGGAGGCAGAATTCCATCGGCATAGCTTCTGTCTTAGAGAGCTCTTTCCTGCATTTCCCCTCGTAAGTCGTATAGTCGTTCTTGCTGCTCTCGCGCCATGCTGTCCCGGGCACGCGGCCGCCGGAGTGTCCCGTAAGAAGTTTTGGACCTTCTACAGTCATCTTATAGCGCCGCGGCGCGCGGCACGACTAGATCGTACGGCTCTAGTGGAGCGTCCTAGGGAGCGTCCAGCCGCGGCGCGCGGCGCGGCCGCGTCGCGCGTG